ATTGTCGTAGAAAACAGTCGTCCTGTGTTCATGCTGTCAGACTTTGACTGACGGAGTAAGTGAATAAAGATGTCCTGTCAACCGAGGTTTCGTGTAGAATGCTCAATTTATGACAGGTGCTACTAAAACAGGGGTGAATCAATCACTGTGACCATCAATGTCCGCTGCTGTCATAACAGGGAGGCCCTCCTCTGTTACTGTCCACAGTTGAGACGATCACTCGCAGAATCTTCCATCATCATCACCATCATCATGATCATCATCATCATCTTGGCTTTCCCTTCAGAAGATTGATGTTAGATTTAGTCCTGGCTGAGTTGTCTCTTAATATGCTGCAGGTACACATTAGCTTCAGTTGTTCCTGAGTCTTGTTCTTGTTTTGTTGAGACCGTTATGGACCTCTCCAGTCACCATTGTAAGCCCAGTGCGATGCATGCAATGGAGGTATTTTTCCTCCTTGGTGTTAATTATCACTTCTGTCAGCTCTCCATGTCTGTAATGAGCTTACAATGCTTTGGACCAAGTTTACAGCCTGTTATCCGGTCAGCCGGGAACTCTGTCATGTCAGCTGATTGTTTGATTGGTCAATTATATGATTACACTTTCCTGTAGAACACCAATGTTTAAATAGCCACTGTTGCTGTTATTGACTCATTAGGTTCCCTCATCATTGGCAGACTCATGATCTGTAGTCTGGCTAGGCGGGCAGTGGTGCTGTCAATGACTTCATGTATCTCCGACTGGTTCATATGAGATAAAGGTTCTGTTACTAGGTTGATTGACAAGGTCCCATCTGATGGGTACTGCTGTGAAGGTGTGTGATGCTTTTGTTGTTTAACACCACACTCAGCAATATTCCAGCGGTCTGTAAACAATTGAGTATGGACCAGATAATCCAACGATTGACCCCATGAGCGTAGCGAGCATGACCACCCGATCCCGTTAGTTGCCTCTTACAACAAGCATGGGTTGCTGAAGACCAATTTTAACCAGGCTCTGGACGGATTTCCACTGTAGAGGTAGAATAGTTTGTCAAGTACGGTAGTGGGACACAGAGGCCTCCATAATACCTTGCTGTTGTAGTCGGTCTCAGCAAGCTTGTGGAAGAAATTTGTCCACTCAAAATCATCTGATTATTACCCCTGTTGAAGAATGTGTGCATTCAAAATTAATTCTCAGCTTCCTGGGAGTATATCTGCTAGAGTTGGGAGGCATCCTCTGAACTTGTGGTCGATAATCAAAAAAAGAAAATGTTAAGCTCTCAAAAGTTTATGGTCATGTTTTATAGGTGCGTTTCAATGTCACGTTGTATTAAATATGACAATGAATTTTTCAGGGAACATATGCTATTAAAGTATGCGAATTAGTTCTTTATTATTGATTGTATAATTATGTGATCAATACCGGTAATCAAATTGGCCAATAATATGACTGATCGGTGCACCACTCATCTCATATCTATGCACTATGAATGATGTCACATGCAATACATGGAAGCCACAAAACCCTCTTTAGCCTGTAGTCAAAATTCAAATCTATATTTTAAATGCCAGGTGACCATCTTGTAACTGTCCGCGACTACTAGATTTTGGCACATGCTGGTTACCGATCGTGATGGGCTGTTCAATTTAGCTAGTTAAAGATCCATTAGGTTAACTATGCGTCATGAATGAGATCAAAGTGGCTTTATCTTAACCCTGTGTATTTAGCACTGTTTGTGCATTTAATTGTCTTGTTTGTTACCAGTTATTGTGTATGTGCAAGTTCAAGGTTTTGGTACTTTGTGTGGTGCTTCTTCTTTGCCGACAGTGTCTAGTGCTTCGGATGCTCAGTTGTGCCTACATTGGCCTGACAATCTCAGTATTGATTGACTCCCAGTCAGTTGGCTGCAGATCGATCATGCTTCTGATCACTAGAGCTATCTATCGACTCTGGGTTTTGTCTATCATTGTACATAAGCTGATCATCACAGTGGCTGATCACCGGCGTATCTTACCTGTTCCTCATCAGCGTCATGTCATGAGAGGAGGAGGAGGACCACTTACACCAGATGATTTGCACTCCACATGGCCAGCGTCTCCTCATCCACTGTTCATCTCCTCGGCAGGGCAGTGAGGGAGAAAGTTAAGTAAGCTAATTGAGGGGAACCATATTTCCCAGCACTGCTATTGAACAATGGACGTTCAGGATGCTGTATCAGTGTACATATCACTGTCTGTCACTTGATCCTTTGTTCGCGACATGTGCTCTCATGTCTGTGACTGAGTCTGTTGCTGTGGTGTCTGTGGTTGTAAGTGTGTTCTGATTGTGACTGTAGGTCTGTCTGATTGTGACTGTAGGTGTGTTCTGATTGTGATTTTAGCTGCGTTCTGATTGTGACGGTGTGGCTGTCTGTGACTTGTTGTTCTTTTCGATACCTGTTGTAGCAGCACTCATATCCATGACATGTACTGTGGTACCTGTGTCTGACTGATGCTATGGTACCTGTGTCCGACTGATGCTAAGGTACCTGTGCCCGACTGATGCTTTGGTACTTGTGTCCCACTGATGCTGTGGTACTTGTGTCTGACTGATGCTATGGTACCTGTGTCCGACTGATGCTATGGTACCTGTGTCTGACTGATGCTATGGTACCTGTGTCCGACTGATGCTGTGGTACTTGTGTCTGACTGATGCCATGGTACCTGTGTCTGACTGATGCTGTGGTACTTGTGTCTGACTGATGCTATGGTACCTGTGTCTGACTGATGCTGTGGTACTTGTGTCTGACTGATGCTATGGTACCTGTGTCTGACTGATGCTATGGTTCCTGTGTCCAACTGATGCTGTGGTACCTGTGTCTGACTGACAGTGTGATGCCTGTATTCTTTGTGTCGTGGGTGTTAACTAGTGATATGGTAGAGTGATGATATGATTTTTTTCCACCAATTTGATGATTTAGACTGAGTACTTCTCGTTTTGGTTCAAACATTTTTACCAGAGGCATGATATATTGGCACATGTCTGTGGGGGCTTTGAACAGCATGGGACATTGATTCTGGCTTTGTTCAGTCTTTAATATGATGACAAGTTATGCTGTGATAGCATGTTTGCAATGCTTCGAACATTTCATCTCGCACACAAGATTAGTAGGAGCCCTTCTGATTTTCCATATGATGGATGAGTGGGACACTGCGATGGATAGGAGGGCTTCAGATTCATTTGTTTTTCATGATAGCAATTGGTTTGATAACATATTAAACTTCACATATTTGAAGTAACATGTTTTTTATGATTTTCTTTCATGTTGGTAACCATTTCCAACTAGAAAGTTTAATGTTCCTGATTTCTTTCACTGGTGTTGGTGATAGCAAATATGAAATGAATACAGTTTCTGATAGTACAACCACTCTGGGTGGCCCTGTGTGTATCAGCGTGCTGTGGTACAAAACGATCTTAGCGCTAAGGTCGTCGTTACTCCCATACCTTAACATAGACTAACGACAGTTGTAGCTCTAAGGTTGTTTTGTTCAACGGCACCCAGTACTCTTTGGACAGTCCTGTTTTACACCTTTTGAGGCTGGCCCTTGGATTAACATTTCTGATAGTGCAGCCTTCTGAGTGTCCCTGTGTAGATTGTTACTGTGTCCTAAGCCTGTGGTAAGACGTATGTCCAATACATCTACACTGCCTTACAGCAGTTGCATTGTTGAGCAAGGCCCCTCTTTTTGATGAAGTGCTTCTTTCTTAGAGCGATACATCCTTTGCCCTGTGAAGATAGTTAATCTGTGGAACGTAAGGCTGGTATGAGTCCAAATTTACTACCCAGGTACCTGACACCCTATTACCCGTCTCTACTTGGGAATCTGCTGTAGGTCTCGAGAGTTGGGTACAAAATTTCCGAATGGAAATTGTTTTTCCGCAGCCCTGGCCAAAACGATTTCAATACATGCACACAATTATAAGATTATGGAATTCACTGAAGTTGAGTGAAGCTTTATCTTTATGAATCATTTAACAGTCAGAAGGAATTCATACATAGTCAGAAAGAAATGCAAACATTGGTGACTTGTAGTGTAACCATGTAGTTTTATTGTTATGTCATTAAGGAATATATAACATGAGTTCGAGTAGTCCTGTGGGTACAGGGGTGGTCGGGTAGCCTAGTGGTTAAAGCGTTCGCTCGTCCGAAGACCCGGGTTCGAATCCCAACATGTGTACAATGTGTGAAGCCTATTTCTGGTGTCACCCGCCATGATATTGCTGGAGTCGACTATGCTTGTAGTAAGAGGCGACTAACGGGATCGGGGGGTCAGGCTCGCTGACTTGGTTGAAGCATGTGATCGATCCCAATTGCATGGATTGATGTTCATGATATCATATCAATCACTGGATTGTCTGGTCCAGACTTGATTATTTACAGACCGCCGTCATATAGATGGAATATTGCTGAGTGTGGTGTAAAACAACCAACCAACCAACCAACCATCCAGAGTGGCCCTGTGTGGGTGTTGCTGTGGAGTTCAATTTTGGTGAAGGCATCCACTGTCCAGCAGTGATCAGGAAGAGGGGATTATCCTGGGTGGATAGGTGATGCAAGCTGTCACTGCTAGAGAGGGAAGGAAAGAGTTGACTGACCTGTCACCTAGGCTTCTGGATAAGCCACCTTAGCCAGTGCTGGTGACACAACTTCCAGTTATTACATTAACTTCATCATGCCTCTTTCAACAGCAGATTGTCTTTGTTCAAATCCCAAGTCACCCTTCATTTGACATCCAGCCAAATCTGTCCGGATTCCCTGTGGGGGACAACCTGACGTGGTTGCTGTGTTTTTATGAGTGCAGTAAAACTGTTAGGTGGCAGCGTTGAGATGCTGACGTCGAGCGGCTTGCAGCTTCCATCCTCCGTGTCCCTGCGACCATTAGTCCACGACTAGTCCAATAAATGTCAACACACCGAACAACTACATGTCTTGTTCGTGTAATTAATTTGACATAATTTCTTTATGTTTTTGATTTCAGCTCTTGAAAGTGTGCAAACTGAACTCTTTGAGGTCAAGGCCAAATATGACGAGGCTACATCTGCAAAGTAAGTAGACTTCAGATGCTTTTAGTTTAGGTATTGTCAGCATGCATGCAGAGCTGGGATAATCCGATCATTTCACCTTTGCACTTTCATTATTTTCAAACAGCATTTCATTTGCAAAATATAGAGATTTTTCATCGCAAACTTACTATCTAGACAGAATAATCCTAGACTGTGTAACACCAAACAGTTAAGCAAACCATCTCTCAAGACAGGCAAACCACCTTACTGTGAAGATAGATGAACCACCTTATTGGGAAGTTAGGACAACCACCTTACTGGGAAGATAGACAAACCACCTTACTGAGAAGTTAGGACAACCACCTTACTGTGAAGATAGATGAACCACCTTACTGTGAAGATAGACAAACCACCTTACTGTGAAGATAGGACAACCACCTTACTGTGAAGATAGGACAACCACCTTACTGTGAAGATAAGAAAACCACCTTACTGTGAAGATAATAAAACCACCTTACCCATTACTTTTTGTAAGGTTGACTTGGTTCATGCATGTCATTGTGCCCCAATTTACCTGGATCGATGCTCATGATGTCAATCACTGGATTGTCTGACCCAGACTCAATTATTTACAGACCCGCTGAATAGCTGGAATATCTGCAATTGGTCAAAAACAATCTATATTGTTGCAAATCTATCTTTCTGAAATCAGCAGTAAAACTGTTTTTTGTTGAGACGAGAGAATGTTTTTATGTGATAAAAGATTCCATGGAATATATACGTTAATCTATTGGACCCAGAGCTGGGTTGTTTGTTGGGTGTAGCAAGACGTCTCTCACCAGCATTTCAGCATATCATCAGTACATATGTATATCATCCAACATATTTATGTCCTGCCTAACCAGCCTAGCAATAATGTAGTCAAACATTGTCCAGTTGTGCTGTATAGAGAGGATGCAGCGAGGATGCAGCAGTATAGTGAAATCTTAATGGATTTGTAGAATATCAATAGCACAGCTATCAATTATAGGCCATCGATTGCTCCGTGATGAACACTTCCAATCAATAATTGAATTTGTAACTATAGAGTTGCCATGGTAACGGAGCCGACTCCCCTAGAGACAAAGAGAGGGAATTCACATACAAGACAGCCACACAACTAATTGACACAAATTGCTCTTTTCTCCATTTTGCTTTTCCTTTATTTTGTTCTTCATCTGTGACTAATCTGCAACAGTTGCTCCACATAGTCTGTGAGCCTATGTGTTCAAAGATGCCACTTAGCTTTTTCCCTGAATTAATTGAATTTTTCATCGCATTTAGATTTTTGAGATTTTGAAAATGATAGGCACTGTCATTGATGAAATGCGAAATATCTTCCATTAAAGATCACTAAGGCTGGAAATTTGAAAACGATGAAAGTCCATGATCAGATTTAAAAGGTGAAAAAGTAGAAGATTGAAGATAGTGTCAGTTGAGCAGTGAATTTGCTTTAATTATGATCTGTAATTATGGGAAAGTGTGAGGGCTTCCTGTGCTTGTAATGATGTGAAGTCCCTTAACATTCGCTCCAAACATTTCCCTGAAAACACTGAGTGTGTATCTCCTGGAGGGAGAACAAAGTCGCCTCGATCCCATTATGGTGAACAACACAAGGGCACCCTTTGTTGTGTCTTGTAATCAGCTCTCTAGCTTACCCCCCAATCCCCCCCCCAAGTGTTCCTCCCCTGACCCTGTGCAGCAGCCCTGGCAGCCTAGGCGTAGGTTCATACCCTCGCAATGTCAACTGGTGCTCAAGTACCTTGTTAGTTTCAGACTCGTGTCAGTTTCTAGGCAATAGTGCAGAATATTTTCATACGTTTTTTTCAAAAGCCTCTTACAGTCTGAAAATGATGATCTCAAAAAATGTTTTTTGTCCACCTTAGCTATTAGGCCTTATATAGGTTTATCGTAGTTGGTTTATTAGACCAACATTCAAAAAAATACCTGCAAAAAAAAGAGTAACATTTGATGATTTTTATTTTGTGGGACTCACAATTAGGTGAAATGAAAAGGTGAAATGAAAAGATCACAAGGTTTATCGCAGCTTTTTGTAAAAATTGGTGAATTATCTTTGGTATCTTGCCACGTTAAAACTTGTTTGTTTTTCATTCATTAATAGCAGCACCAATCTGGAAGTTGAAATTGTCCTTTATGGGTTTTTTCAACCACCAACATTAAATTTTGGGCAAAAACTTTGGTAAACCAACCAATACAAAATTGGGCCTTAAAACATATGTTGGGTACTGGGCAGCTGTCTTCACCTGTAGTCCCGACCAGACCAGTAACATTTCCTTTTGACTAATATGTAAAACTATGACAGCCAATATGTATTAAATACTGAAAAATAGTACCAAATCTACTGAAAACTAGATGTAAAATTGTTTTGCTCAAAACACACCTGTTTTCCTGCTCCCTCACTCACACACTTCTGAGCAGCCACCTCAACAGCATCTACCACAATCCGGCCACATCATCATCATCAATGAATAAGCATGTTCTGAGAATGAATCAAATATTGATTACCAGTGGTACATTTGACTGCTGTGTAAGAGAAAAGACCGAGGATCAACAACAGAAGGCTGTCCCTACTAAGCTGACAATGTTGGTCTTAGTTCAAGCTGTATGGAATATTACCTATTATTGATTTGTGAATGTTGTATGGAGTGTAATATATTGTATGTCCTGCAATCTGTGTCCGTCCTAGACATCCACTCTCCCATGTTCTTAGCATTCCCTATGAAATATCTATCAATGCTGTGCCGTGGTGGCCCGGCTTTGTGTAATGTTTCACTTTCTTTCGCAAACATCAATTTGTTTCTGAACATACATCAGCGTTCTCGATAGTGCCCGTTCCCTGATCCATTAGCCAAATAAAAGCATCAATACACGATCGCAGGGAAACATCGGTAAACAAGGTTCTCTGTCTCCTTTTGTGCGACTGTCTTTTGACAAGGTGTCACTCTCTGAATCACTGGTCTGTGTGGCCTTGCGAAGCACTTACCTCGTAGCTGAGATTACAGCCTCAGAAGGAATGTATTGACTAGTTCGATCGGCAATATATCTTTTTCAGGCTAGGTACACCCCATAATAGGGGCAAACTGAAACAAAATGCTCTTGTGTTTTTCTTGCTGGGCTATTGATCGAGCCAGTCCTTGAAGAAATTTGGTATTGATTGCAGAATCTCAGTTTACAGTCAATAATGTTTTGTGTAGAGATACACGTCGAGTTGTATCTGCTGGAACAATACTGTCCATCCTCTGTCATCATACACTTAGAATCTAGTATTGATCCTTCAGATGGGTGGCGGGGGGAAGGGAGACGGGGAGGGGCGGGGGATGTCTGGTAGCCGTGTGGAAATACCTTTCTATTCTGTACCTGCCGGGGATGTGACAAATATGGCTACCTCTGTGGTGTCGTCTGTCTGGTCAAGGAATTGTGTCAGCACTGCAGTCCCAGGTTACACAATTAACAAGTATCTGTATTTTCGGGCCAGTGGTTAAACGTCATTCTCATCCCAGAAACTAGAAACAAACACACAAACATGCATTACTTTGTTATCAATCAATTAATTAAATCATATACAGTGGTTGAAAAAATATAATGAAAGTCATGGGCCCTTTTCGTGGCCCTAATGTTAAGAATCAAAGCTCAATAGGCCCCTGGACTCAAATACTGGTCAACCACTACAACAGAAAAGCCAGCACCTCTAACACTCATGTATGTAAGTCGCTTGAATATGTCTATTCCGGAAGTAGAATCGACAAGCCCTGAATCCTACTTCCGGAATCAGCAGATTCAAGTGATTTCCTCAATTTAAACAATATGATTAATATATTATTTCTCCATAATTTTGCCTAATGACCTATAGTAGTGTGAGTTTGACTTGTTTAATTGTTGTTCCAAATGGACAGTGAATTCCTGGTCATAATCAACTACAACAATAGCGTGACGTCATCATAATTCTCTTTTAAAATGTTATTTGGTGTCATTTTCATCATACCCTTGTGAGATATTTACTCAAAGCCAAGGCTAACTTGACTTAGGAATCTGAATTGACTTATATTGATGGTTACGGTTGGAGTTTGGGAATACTGTGTGTTTGTGTTGTAATTCTGTTGAAGATGAAAGCTTGGCTCATGTATGTGTACCTATTGTGACTTGTTATGCAGGTCAGTCCGATATATAACATTCTTCCCCTTGACAGTTTTTCATCGGCCACAACCAGGGCTGAGATATTAAGCCATCCATCAAGATGCTGTTTGATAAGGACCTGAATTAATCAAGATGTTGGTACATAAGGCTATCAATTAATCAAGCTGTTGGAGGAGGTATAGGTGTGTTATGTAAGAGGGCTCTCCTACTGTGGAATGCTGCTAACATCCTGTCATTAGTTGTCTATATACATCCCGTTTATAATCCGCAAGCTGGAGAGAGAGAACAAGACGATCTGGAGACATATGTGAATGCATCACAGTGATGGATTTGTCTCCCCTGCGACCAGCTCCCCCCCCAAACCACATCCATCCCCCAGCCCCATCCCATCCCCCTCACATGACCACATTCTTCTGCATGGACAACAGACTTATTATCTACGAATTGTGGAGTGAGGATTTATTGTCTTCCTGCATGAGTTTGGCAGCCATAAATACAGTGTTGCTGGTGATGACTTGGTGGGAGCTTTAATGGGTGAAAACAAAGACATTAGAATGACCCTGGTAGGGCAATGAGAGAAGGTAAAGTTCTTGTGGTGGAGGTTAATATTTGAATATCTGCATGATTCCAGAGAGGATGATTCCCTTAATTTGTCATACCAAGTCGCCACACCCACTGCTCTTAACTCACTGCTCCACCCAATTTTCCCTAACCACAACCTCAGTCTTACCACCACTTCACATAAGTGATTCTACCCCTTCTTCCCAAACGTCAACCCATGCCTTGTAACCTCCACTTCACATGGCCCCTACTTCTCTTACAACCCAGGCCTTGTAACCACCACTTCA